GGGAACTTAAACATTAAGTTAAACCTACTCCAAATACATTTTTAAACTATTCAAATGATGAAAGTTAGTGTTGTTTTTTAAGCGTTTATTTGCGAGTGGGAACTACCAACATGGCCGCCATCTATTCAAATGGGGGTAACCGCTGGAATATTCTTGGCTTCAATTTTACTAAAAGAGATGCGCTATCTAGTGTATATAAGATATCTATGGTATAGTCCTCCGTATAGCCTATCTTGAACGGTCTTTGCCAGTGTAGGTATAGTAGCCAATCATGAGGAAACTTCGGATTGATAGCGATGCAACGTTACTACCTGAAAATACAAGGAGAATTTCGACGTTTCGAGCGAAGGCCCTTCGTCGGGAAGTTATTAGTTACTCGCCGCCATTTTGATTTGTAAGACACAAACTTGCAGGAAATCGTCACCCGTGACACACACGAAGAAAAGCTCAACATTGTGGAAATTGCTTACGCAAATGGTCACGAGTTAAATGTTGCTAAGCACATAGCTCTAGTGTGTGCCAGGCTTATGGACGGCGGAGAAACCGAGTGTTTGAGTTGCCAGAAAATTCAGAATTGCTTTTATGAAAACGAACTGTCTGTGTCAGTGTAGTGCCAAACGTATTAACAAGCTTTCGTTGGTAGGAACGCAACTACCTGAAAATCTAAGGAGAATTTCGACGTCTCGAGCAAAAGCCCCTCGTCTGGAGTCTGCCTCCTCCGCAGGCCCACGTTGCGTCATGGGAAGGTCACACACACAATCTGACGAGGGCCTGTGGAATCTTGTAAAAAAAATGGCGCCGGCGTCGCGTCAGCAAGTACATTTATACATAATCTTGAATATAAACAGGCTATAAAAAGCGGTGTAAAACTTGTAAATTAAAATGGCAACTCTAAGGACATGGAAGGAAGCATTTTTTAACGATAAGGTTTGTTGTCCACACAAACGACGTTGCACGAATAAAACTGTCTTCTTTAGAAAAGCAGGTTCAAAACAACATTTATTCATTTTACAACATTCCGCAGGTCCTCTCGAAATCGTGACCTTCCCATGATACAACGAGGGCCTGCGGAGGAGGTTTATCATGTATTACTTTCAGCACAAGCGCGGGGGTGCTTGGGAAGGTCACGACGGGTTTCTGCAGCTTCGTTTCCAGTGTCCTCCCCAAGCACCCCCGCGCGCTCGCTCATCAGCCACTGATCTATATAAAAACACTGTCGTGTTGCTATTTATAGTACGTTATTTGCGCCTGGATACGAGGCTGGGTCAGCACAATGTCATTCGTGGCAGCGTGCAGATGCGCAGCGGGTGACATTGCCGCTTTAAGTAGGAAGCTTCAGTGTGTGGTAAACTTTTTCGAACTTTATTTCACTTATAGGACAAATGTTCAATGCGTTGAATATTTTTGCCATAAATGACAATCACATCTGTGTGTCCGCGCTGAAACTGAAGCTAACAATACCTCAGCAAAGCTCATGCGTATCAGCGACAGTAAACAAAACTCCGAGGCGTATATGGCTATAGATTCTTAAGAGGAATGCGAAGAAGAAGAAATACTGCTTTTTTGTTGCCAAAATTTTATTGAATGATTCTTTATTTAAGCTATGATATTGCCGGAATCGTTCGAAATCTTCAGCGTTTAACTCGCGAATACGATTTGCATGCGCCCCTAGTGTTTCTTTCTCTCTCTGTATTATCCATTGCCTTGACCATGTTTGCCGATGAGAAGCTTGTAAACGCCTCTCATAAACGAAGCTCGTAAAAGCAATATACAAAAGCAGTATTACCTGCCATTTTGTTTTTGTTTACTGTCGCTGATACGCATGCGCTTTGCTTGCTTCTTAAGTTTAAATGCGCATAAAGAGTAGATCGTCATTCACGGCAAAACTGATTAATATTCAAGGTGTTGAATATTTGTGCCACGAGTCACACCAGAGCTTCCTGCTTAGGCAACATGGCACGAATGACATGTTGCAACATGTTGCACGAATGACATGTTGCAACCACACCATAAATTTAAAGGATCACTACCCTACATTTTGTGCGTTACCTCCTTGCTACTGCAAACCCCTTTTAGGCGAGCACATTAGTGAGCTGCCGAAGGTGTCCGCTTAGTATAGGATCCACTATATTGCATATTTTGTTCTGTCGGTATGGTATATTAAGCTGCTATTTTACTGTGTTGCGAAATATTTATACACATACTGCTGTCGAAATATTTATCGAATGCTAACACAAAGGTGCTCAGGCTGTCATCAAAGGTGCTCAGTTGAGTACACTATTTTTGAACATTCACAGCACGAGTGCGGTACAGAAATACTTTACAATAAATGAAAAACTGAGCTAAAGATAAGGTACAGTCCTGTCTGCGCATGTGCACATAGGAGTTCCTGGCGTGATACAAACATTTTTTATTTCATTTTATGTTGCAAAGCCTGAGTTGTTGTATCTTGATAATTTATTATACAGTAGAAGCATGAAAATATAAATAGTTGCCGAATAAAGTTCAATATTTTGAATACCTAAATGTAAACAAAGGCTTAAGTTTGTTTACATACTGACTATGTACCCTACCTTTAAAACAACAAGTACGATGATACTATAGTGGACCAGGAACTGTGTGACCCAGTTTCGATCTTGTGCAAATCGTTAGACGTTCAGTTGGCAGCGACGCAGCGTAGAATGAGTTCGCTAAATGTTTTGCTTTAATTTGGTTATGCAAGATATACTTTATCCGGGCAAAAAGTTTCTAATGCCGTGTATAAATGAGGTGTAAATCTGAACAAACCATTGATAACCGCTAAATGCGCAGATTGATAAGTTAAATGTCCACAAGATTTAGAATAAACATGCCGTGCCTAAATTTAACTTTTGCCCGGCCTGCATCAAATTTTGCCGTGCCGTGCGTACATGCCATTGCAAAATATTGGGCATTATCCCAGGGTCTGTCCTTTGGAAGATCCTGGGTTCTATGAATACTGTACTGTATTATTATGATAGCCAGATAGGAGTATTACTCCTCTGCGCTTTGAGAAACTAAGCCAGATTAGCCAGTGTGTTTTTAACGCTTATAACTAATCGTTATAATTAGTGGTTCACATTCTTGCGATGCTTTAGACTATTGTGATTGTTTAAAAATGTTGGAAGCGAAACCAGGATTCATAATTAATTGTGTAAACGTTCTCTGGTTAAAAAAAGATTTATTTATTAACAAGCTTTCGACTGCCAGTCTGCAGTCTTCGACGGGTAGATTTATAATGTGCTAGTGATATAAGATATGATACAGAGTGAATAGTGCTATACAAGAGCGGTTTACAATTACATTTACTGACAAAAGACAATTACTGACAGTTCCGCCTACGTAAATATATGGTGTAGAATTTAAAGTTTTTTGAGCAAAAAGCGATATTGTTCTGGCAAATGTTTTGAGTTGTTATCAGCGTCTTTCATGCATGCAGTGTGCCAAGACTCTAACGTCGATCTGTGTCGATAGCTTCCCTTGTCAATTATTTTTCCGTTCTTAAAATCAATTCTGTGGTCGTTTGCCCACGCATGATTCGCGATATTAGAGCCACTCTTGCATTTTTTCACGTTTCGTTCGTGCTCTTTTTTTTTCTTGTTATAAAGGCCCTGCCTGTCTCGCCAACGTAACTCCACGAGCAATCTGAACAGTTAATTTGATAGACGACGTTCGTCTGGTTCTCAAGTAGTGGTCGGTCTTTTGTTGAGGGAAACATTTGTTCTAGAGTGCGGAGAGGTTTCGTAGTTACTCGGATATCGTGAGGTTTCATAATGCGTCTAAGAGGTTCTGTTAGTCCTTTGATGTATGGAAGGACGGCGTAACTGCGATTGGTCTTCGGTTCTACTAATTTAAAAAAACGATCTTACAAGTTCTTCGGGTGGCGGCGTTCTGTTTTCAAACATGACACGTTTCTGTTCAACTTGTTGCAAAAATTTCTTAGGATAACCGTTTGACATTAATGTGTGGGTTACATGTTTGCGTTCTTGTTGTTTGCCTTCCTCTGTGTTTGGTAAAGTTGCTGCCCTATGTAGGAGAGTTTGTGCAGTGCTAACTTTGTGTCGTTTGTCATGGTGTGAGTTGTAGTCTAAGTACCTGTCAGTGTGTGTAGGTTTTCGGTATACGTCAATAGAAAGGGATCCATTATTGCGTGTCACTAAAGTGTCTAAAAATGAAAGTTTTCCGTCAAGTTCCTGTTCAATGGTAAAGTTAATGTGTGGGTCGATAGAGTTAAGTAATTTGTAGAAATTGGTTAACGCGTGTTTTTTAATGATGGAAAATACGTCATCAACATAACGAAACCATTTCTTAGGTGGCATAGAAGATGTAATTAGTGCTAAGTCCTCAATTTCCTCCATGCAGAGGTTTGCCACAATAGGGCTAACGGGACTACCCATAGCACAACCATGGATTTGTTTGTACGTTATATTGTTGTAATTAAAATAGCTGTTAGTAAGAGTAAAACGTAAAAGTTTAATAATATCTTCAACAGAGAGTTTGGTTCTAACATGTAGGTTTTTGTCTTTCGTGAGTTTGTTGCGGATATGTTCGCATGCTTTATCTACTGGTATCGCTGTAAACAACGATTATATCACTAGCACATTATAAATCTACCCGTCGAAGACTGCAGACTGGCAGTCGAAAGCTTGTTAATAAATAAATCTTTTTTTAACCAGAGAACGTTTACACAATTTATTGTGATTGTGTTAACAACAATGCAACAATGAAGAAGACAATGTCTTCCTTATCATTTGCGTTTGCTAATATATTCCTGAATATTAATGATATGTATATATTATTTGCTACGAAACAGTAAAAAATTGCTTGTGGAAAATTAGCAGCGATTGGGGACCAGTTCTTGGTCCAAAAAACAACAATTCAAACGTACAAAATACATAACAATTCTCCACAGTTTTAATAATTATGACTCCGTAATTTCCATATATTTTTAGAATTTTTCTCCGCGGTCTCTAGGATTCAGGCTCCGGAATTCCTACTCCGTGTTCCATGTCACCACAGTTCAATTTGCACTTGTTAATTATGTCATTATATGCAATTGGTGCGTTAGTTTTCTTTAGAAATCCAATCCCCTTTTGTCTTCCCACAATATTTAACTAGCATGTTTGTTCACACATTACTTTGCAGGATATTTGACTTGGTTCATATACATGTAGTTGTTGCCGGTACGAGAACATTCAAGTGAAATCTGCCTGCGGTGAATCAAGACGAGACATCGAGTTGTCTGAATACGACACCAGAAATCTGCACTTGCAATACTGTCAAGCGGCAAGGTTAGTGCTGTATATGCTGTAAGTTTTAAACCTCGATGACATTCGATTACTGTGAGAGCAGGTCGAGCTATTCAGAGCGGAACGATTTCGTTTCACTACAGCCACTTGGCCCACTTTCGGCCGCTTAATATAGACAGGGTTTATACCACTTACCGAGCGACGTCTTACTTAGGTAGTCAAATATTTCCTTGCGTGGATATGGAGTGTTTCATGACTTTCATCCCGCTTGCCGAGATGAAATTACAAAGTATTCTATATTCTATACTTAGCACGTGTAAAACTTCTTCGTTTCTGTCAAGCAACAGAAATTATTTAGCGATTTTAGTGTTTCTCTTCGTTTATTTACAAGAAAAAGTATTGCTTTAGCAGCATATTTATACTCTTGTTTATAAAACAAACATAAAACTAAGCTAGGTAAAAAGTTTTAAATTAAACGGCGTGACTTGTTTGACTATAGTTGGCAAGCGTGCCAACTCGCTTTCTTAGTCATATGAACACAACGCAAAATTTTATAGAAAAATAACGAGGTTGCGAGATTATCGGTAACTGGGACGTCCCGGTAAGCGAGATCATATAAACAGGCCCTCAGAGTGTATAAGTAAGCGACCGACCTGAAGCTCATAGTGATCTCAAAACAGGCGCACAACTGTGCTTTACTAATTAAGGGGCTGCATTGGGTTTCATGGCCCGGTTTTCCCGGACTAAAATTTCGATCCGACGTAAGGGTAAGGATGAAATCCTTTAAAACACAGCAAGCAATTATCTGACAGAAATTTCAGCTTGGATGAATTTCAGCTTCGAGTTGAACGCGAAGAGGTAGGAAGAGCTGGGAAGTCTTGACATAACTCATTGTTATAATTATTTGTACAATAATACTATTTCACTGTAGTTTCCACATTCGATAAGTCGAAGATTTTGAACATTTTCAAAACACTACACTAAACAAAACAAAATTTTAAAACTGGTGAATTTAACAACACATCTATACGGTTTAATTTCAACAACACGCAATTTAAAAATACTGGCGTCATTCTTTTCAACGATAAGCAATCGAAAATTATTTCGCCGGCTTGTGTCAAAAAGACCACGAAAGTTTCTACGCGCACTACGCGAGAATGGCGTCTGACTAAATCAGGCTTTATGCTTGTAATTAGGAAACGCGCTACAGTTCACTGTACAGGGTGTCTCAAAAAAACCCAAAATCATTGAAATTGACGTATTGTTCGATATTCAATGCCCTAGCACTAAGTTAATCCCACGAGTGCATAAAAGATTGACATAACTGCTATAATGAATGGTAATACTCAGCGTAAACTTGTTATGTCAGGCATAAAGTACTAAACCCACGAATGCATATTACGCATATCACAATTTACGAAGCATTTTTAAATTCCCATGAGCAAACAAACGTTCACTTTACAAAGATATTTTAATTTTTTAAAACAAATTAATCACCCTGTCAAAATCCTTTGTGTTACGGCATTGAAATTCGAACAATACGTACAGGGTGTCTCAAAAAAACCCAAAATCATTGAAATAACGTATTGTTCGAATTTCAATGCCGTAACACAAAGGATTTTGACAGGGTGATTAATTTGTTTTAAAAAATTAAAATATCTTTGTAAAGTGAACGTTTGTTTGCTCATGGGATACTTTATTCGTGGGTTTAGTACTTTATGCCTGACATAACAAGTTTACGCTGAGTATTACCATTCATTATAGCAGTTATGTCAATCTTTTATGCACTCGTGGGATTAACTTAGTGCTAGGGGATTGAATATCGAACAATACGTCAATTTCAATGATTTTGGGGTTTTTTGAGACACCCTGTACAGGGTGTCCCAAAACTGAACCCTTTCAAATTCAAATTAGCTATAACGTATTGTAGTAATTTGACAGCTCTAATTGCTTTGAATTAATGGTTGGGTAAGAATGCAAGGTCTTGTACTCATGGGACGAAACTCGAAGAAATAAAAATTAGAAAATTTAAAAGTTTTGAAGAGTTTTGTCCAATGAGTACAAGACCTTGTGTTCTTACCCAACCATTAATTCAAAGCAATTAGAGCTATCAAATTACTACAATACGTTATAACTAATTTGAATTTGAAAGGGTTCAGTTTTTTTTATACACCCTGTAGAATCTAGGTCCAATTGAATGTAGCAGTTGTTCCCAGGGACGCCGGAACTGGAGGGGCAGGGGGGGGGCGGCTGCCCCCTTGCCTTTTGCTAGGGGGGGCAGGGGGGGGCAGAAGTGCCCTTTTAGTTGTAAAATAGTACGTGATAAATCACATTTACAACGATGATTTTTGTACGAAAATCATGAGATTTTCGAAAATTTTCGAGTTAAACAAAATTTTCCGGAAGATTTTGAAGTTTTGCTTTATAGAGGTGCCCTTGGTGTGGGTCCGCCCCCCTTTGCCTTATGATCGTTCCGGCGTCCCAGGTTGTTCCCGCTTGAAATTCGTGAAGACGGATACAGGCAGAGGCGTACCGAGCGTGGGGGGTGACACCCCCAGTTTTTTTTTAAATCGTCGGGAAATTGATGCAATCGTCGGTAAATTGATATTATACCGTAGATTAAAACGTTCAGTAAAATTATGAACGCGAAATTTTTAAGTCGTATGTTATCACTAACTCAGGATTTGG